CCCTTTTTTTTTTTTTTTTTTCTCTCTCTCTCTCCTACTCTCGTCTTCTTTTCCATCTTCTGTTTTGGAATTTTGCAATCAGTGATAGTTTATTAGTACTACTTTTCTTCTGCCAACGCGTTTTCTTTGCTTGTTTTCATTCGTAGATTATAGAATACTTTCTGCCTACGCGTTTTCTTTTCTCATATTCATTGCTCATAATTGACAATAAGCTTTTTAAATATTATTTAACCTACTTTTATGTGAATTCTATTATGTAAATAAAGAGTGAGTTAATTTATTTAATAAAGTCACAAATAATTTATGCAATAATTATATATATATATTGATGAATTTCTTCTTTGAATAAATAATATATAAGCAAACATTGGATAAATTTATTGATATTTATAATAATTACTTTAAAACTTATATAAAATATTTTTTATTTATTAGTTGATAGTATAAATATTTTTTACACTAACAAAAAAATATTTTAAATTCCTCACCTTTTTATATTTTGTCATAATCTACTTTACACTAGGAAGAATTATATATATATATATATATTTTTTTTTTTTACTTTTGTACAATAATTTTTTATAACATTATTTTTTATTTTATTTTTCTAGAATTTAATTATCATTTACGGTCAATTCTCTCTATTAATCAGAAATTCTGTATATTGTTTTAAAAAATAATAATAAACTTACTCTAGATGAGTACATGATCAATTACTACTGATCAAATCACTCTCATATGTAGTATTATTTTTTCTATCACACCACTGATCTATTATTTTTTGTTTTTCTTTATTATACAAATACAACTTCACAAACAAGTTAGTATCACATTCGCCCCATCCCATAGCCAATAGGCAACACTGCAACAGGTGACTTGGTTTCCATTTCAAGTTTCAACGCCCTCGTGCTGGGTAGGAGTGGACCCCTATTTACATATTTCTGTTTTGTTGGGGTTTGAGATTTTGACATTTTGCAAGGTAGCAAATGTGAACATTAATGATCATGGCAGTGGATCCTCCATCTCGTCTTTAACGGTGGGACCCGAACCTAAATTCAACATTTTAAAATACTCTATAAAGTGTTTTTTTACGTCAATTAATCAAAATTTTTAAATTATTTATTTTATTTTTATTTATTAAATAAGTAACTAACATGATAATATTAAAAAAATTGATTGATTATTAGTGTAAAAAAATTTTACATTGATAATATATAAGTAACTAACTCTTTAACAAATACTCTACTACCAACTTTTTTTTATTTTAAAATTGTTAAGAAAAAGGGAAAAATATAAAAGACTAATAAAAAAATATAATTCAAGTTTTTATGAAGTCCCCCAAGTTATGAAACACCGGTACCGACACTCGAATGAATGCACGCATCAAATATTTGTTCTTTACTTATTTATGTCCATGTCAATTGACAAGTATTATATTCTTGTGCATGATGCCTACAAAACCTCTTGAATATGCTTTACTTGCATTGCATTTGAACTGTTTAGGATTCTAGATGTAGTACGTAGTAAGTAACTAACGGGTAAAGCCAACCATGCACAACGGTTAAAATTCTCAAGGAAACAACTCCTAGTTAAGTTTATGGCAGGCGTCAGGCGTTGTTGGCACAATATAAATCACTGAAACAACAATTATTTACCTAATAATAAGTATCAATCCCGCAAGGTAATGTTTTCACATTAACTGCTAACTATTTAAAAATAATAATGGTGTTCAAAGTATTAGTTTGGTTATATATGAATTATATTTGTCATATTATTTAGTTAATGATCCCGTTGCAGGCTTTTCAGGGCCAGGCAGCTGCAGGTCCAGCATCAATGGGTGCTACACCGCAACCACCTGGGATCCGTCCTCGTGTGAGAGCAAGAAGAGGGCAAGCCACAGATCCCCATAGTATAGCTGAGAGGGTAATTCTAGAATAAAAATTTGTTTGGATACACATTTATAAACATTTTTTAGATCTTTTTTCTTGAAAAGTATTATTTTTTTTATAAAAAAATTCTCAAAAATTGCTTATAATTTATATTAAAGCTGAGTCTAATTTCTTTTATTTGTCCATCTACAAGTATTTTTTAATGAGTTTAGAAGGATTTTTTTAAAGTTTCTTTACTAAAAAAATAAAGATTTTTTTTTTCGGTAGAGACTAGAGAAGCTCTCCGATAATACTTTAACTTCTAAACAGCTATATGACAATTCATGGTGTTTCTTTTCATTCATTTGCATTGGATATGCAGTTGCGTCGTGAAAGAATCGCTGAAAGAATGAAGGCATTGCAGGAATTAGTTCCCAGCATCAATAAGGTTGGTGCTTCTCCTTGTCTCTCTAATGAACTTTTGTACATGAGTTAATCACTTATACATTGTCAGTGTAAAGATTTTTTACACTGACAATCAATCATATCTTTTAATAGTGCCATATCAATTGCTTATTTAATAAAATAATAATAAAAGTAACTTTAAAAGATATTATTGCTTATTGTAAAATAATAATAAGGTTATTTCAATTGCTTATAGCTTCAATCAACAAATACAATTTCCATTTTCTATTAAGTAACTTACAAATTATCATTTCTTTATGCTTCATAAGGTACTTTCATCTACCACTAAACTAAAGCTTTCTAAAAGCGTACGCATGGATTTTTATTTATCTTTATAAATTAAACCTCAAAAGTCATCTATTCAGTACTTAAGTATTAAGTATTCAAGATAGTGACTTATCTACTGTTAAAATGTGAAACCATTTGTGATGAATGTTATGAAATTGTGGTTGTAGACTGACAGAGCAGCGATGCTTGATGAAATTGTGGATTATGTCAAGTTCCTAAGGCTCCAGGTTAAGGTATGGAGGCTCCTATTATATGCGCATTCCAAGAAGACTTTCTCCATTTCCTGAACGGCTGAATCTATATTGAAAATTTCTTCCTATACAAAAGTTAAATGTTTTTTAGGCACTTTATAGAGCTCTTACTGAATCCATTATTATTATTATTATTATTATTATTATTTTGAGAAACTTGTTTCAAATTGCCTAGCCTCCCCAAGTGTTTAGTGTTAGTATACATGATAGGCTTATTTATCACTAGTGTGAAAACATCCATTCAGCTCATCTATATATACTGTCAGTACATGTCAGACACATTCCTGGATTGACACTGTAACTGCGTCGTATGTCTTCATATTGCAATGAGGTCTCAATTAAATAAGAGATGTCTACTAGATCTAAAGTAAATAGAATCTTTTGTCCTTTTCATATCATTTAATTTAATTTATTGGTATTTTCAAACAGGTCCTGAGCATGAGTAGACTTGGTGGAGCTGGTGCAGTTGCTCAGCTCGTGGCTGATGTACCCCTTTCTGCAGTGGAGGTGATAAATACTGGAAAGATGTTTTGAAATGCTACTTTCTTTTTTATGTCATACCCTTTTTATTATTTCCATCTACTTTAGTTTACTTTATTTTCATCAAGCACTGCACTAGTCCTAGACATGCAAATTTTTGTACCATGGTACGTTTCTAAACCGGATATGATCACAGATAAAATCATAGCAATCATGGCACTGAACTACACATGTAAATTTATTTACTTTTAAAGTCTACCTTGGCTTACATATTATGTATGTGTGTATTCTCATAACTTCATAGACATTTCTGTATATCAATTCTTACATTGGTTTTATTGATTCTATCAGCAGGGGGAGGACATAGAAGGTGGAGGCAATGAGCAAGCCTGGGACAAGTGGTCCAATGATGGCACAGAACAACAAGTGGCAAAACTCATGGAAGAAGATGTGGGAGCAGCTATGCAATTTCTTCAGTCCAAGGCACTTTGCATCATGCCAATATCTCTAGCCTCAGCCATTTTTCGTATGCCTCAATCAGAAGCATCAACAGGCATCAAGCCTGAATCAAATAGCCACTGATAGAACCGAACAAAAGTATCATGACAGACATTAATTACATAATTTTGTTTAGCCAAATCTTCCTCCTTTATGACAAGGGTATTCTACTTTCTTGTGTGATTTCCTGATTGGATGGAGAAGGATATAGTCGGTGCAGATGTTCACTCTTCTCAAGTTTTGTCAAACTAGGAGTAATTGTTATTCCTAATCAGTAAAACTGGAGGAGCCCAGCATGTCCTTGTCATGGTGAAGATCAATATTTTCAATGGCTTTATTGATGTTTTTCTTCCAAATATCTGTGGTGGGGTTGGTGGCGGATGACCAAAATATTTGTAGTGGAAGCTCTTTTCTTCGTTTTTGAATTTTAGTCAGTGGGAAGTGGGACCAATTAAAAGGAAAGGATGGGTACGCATGATGTATGTGGAGAAAACTTTAATGCAAATTGAATTAAAATATGGTTAGTTACCTTGTAAAGATGTTTGGAAGCATCTGACAATTGGAAAAGCTAAAGGTATTTTAAAATAATCATACATGTTGAGATTTTTGTTTGCTTCTTAAACAAGTGAATTCCATCACAAAATTAGGTGATAGATTACTGAACCGACTGCTTGATGAGAAAGTGGAAAATGACAGTTTATTAATTTACTGGAATCAACCTTATCTTCTTACTAATATATTTATATAAAGTTTTATGCTCAATGATAGAATAGAATTGCTATTTAATATTAATGTTGCTCGGTCACGAACTTGAAAGTTTCTTCAGATAAGAACAAGAGTTTCATGAGGCCGTTGGGATCTCCACCGAAGTTGGTGGATGAAAGCGAATCATGATGGAGGAGCGACGGTGATGAGCATCACAAAAAATGTTTCTCACGTTTAACTTAGTGTTTATACAATTGATAAGGAAAATAATTTCTATAATACTTCTTTAGATTTCTTTGTTTAAAAAAGATTAATTAAACCAATGATGTTCGCAACCCAAAATTTAGAGAAAAAGAGTTTGTTGCTTTTAATTATTTATAATTTCCTTAAAATTTATTCTTGTAATTGTTTATATAAGATCCGGTCATGAAACAATCTCTAATCAATGTTGTCTTTTGTCATTCCACTACGAAACCTCGCCAACATAACATAAATAGTGAATACTCAAATGACAAATTCTATAGTACCCATCTTATTTGAGAGGGTACTGATATAGTTTTTTATATTTTATATTTTTAATAATTTATTTAAATAATATTTATGATATTTTTTATTCTTTTAATTTTTAAATTATTTAGTCATTTTATTTTTATTTTATATATTCTAATTTATTTGTAATAATATTATTATATATTTAAATAATTTAATTTTAATAATTTTTTAAGTATATTTTTATCTTTTCACTTAAAATTTTTGAATTTTCTATATTTTAATTT